AGAGAGAGAGAGAGAGAGAGAGAGAGAGAGAGAGAGAGAGAGAGAGAGAGAGTGAGAGTGCCGGTCTCTCTCTGAGCTGCTGAATAATGTATGATGTTCAGTACCTGTATGAGAGCCTGTGTGTCCAGTGGGACCCTGCAGACGGTCCGGGGCAGAGGGGGGCCGCCGGGGGTATACTGCTGGCTATAAGGTGAGCAGCTGTGCACATGAAAGCTGGACCGAGAACCCTGGAGAGAGAGAGAAGGTAAGTGTTTCACATGCACTATACTGTTTCTTTGTGTGTGTGTGTGTGTGTGTGTGTGTGTGCGTGTGTGTGTGTGTGTGTGTGTGTTTGTAAGAGCCTAAAGCGTTTTTCACTCCATCTACCTGCATCCCATAAACACAAACACACTCAAAACACAGAAAAGACAATCCCACAATGCAGTGCAACTATCTCCAAGATGGTGGATTAATCAGAAGACTTCAATATGAACAAAAATAGACCATTAAACCCAATATCAATACCAAGTGTCTATTATCAATGTTGAAAACAGTTGTGCTGCCCAATATTGTTGTGGAAACTTTGATACATTTTATTTTTCAGGATTTACAGAGCAGCATTTATTTGAAAAATAAATATTTTGTAACATTATAAATGTCTTTACTGGCACTTTTCATCAGTTTAATGTGTCCCTGATGAAGTATTAATTTCTTTAGGGGAGTTGTCACTATGAGTTTGACTAATTTCTCGTGTTGTGTGTCAGTCCTTGGTTTCTTTATCACACCCTTCAGAATAAGAAACAGCATGTAAACATCTCTCTCTCCCTCTCTCTGTCGGGGACGGGCGAGCGAGTGACCTGTGTAACACCTTGTCCGGGACAGATGGCAGAGTGAGCGCTCAGATCTGCCAGAACAATCTGCTGAGAGCAGGTGTGAGCTAATTGTCTCCTGCACAGACAGAAACCAGCTCGTGCCAACGTTACCTGAGTGGAAACAAATATCTTCATTTAGTCCCGACACACACACACACACACACACACACACACACACACACACAGCCAGCGCAGTGAAGAGCAGAGATTTGACCGAGCCTTTCCATCCCTCTGGAGCTCAAATACAAAACCCAGTGAGGTGTCATGCTGTCTACTGTCTACATAGACAGCTGCCTTCTGAGGGCGCATGCTAACTGGAATCAAAGCTGGTAAGCGGCAGCAGCAACATCCGACTCCAATAGAGTTTGCCATCAGCTTGCTGCCAAACTAACAACACCGCATGCTAATTTAGATTGAAAATCACACATGCACTGGATACAAGTGAACTTCTAAATAGATTAAGCATTTTTAGTATCTAAATAAGTATGTGTGTAATTTTAATTACTCACACTTTGTGTTATTTTGGAGGATTTTTTTATTTTTATTTTTTGCTGTAAATAAAATTTACAAAAGTTGTCTTAGAATTTATATATACACATTTCGTTTTAGGGGAAAATATATTTATTTATTTAAGCATTTGTTTCTTGTTAAAATTCAAAATAAATGTTAAAATAGAAATTAGAATAGAAATATAAAAAGAATACAAAAATATAATATAAAACAATATAAAATTCCAGATACTGGAAGCCAAGATGCAAATGAAAGAAAAAATAAAAATAAAAATAAAAACATTTAATATGATGAATTGAGTTTATTTTCATTTTTAGATTCATTAATTGATGTGCTTTTCAGTTTTCTTTTTCTTTTTTTTCTTTTATGTATTATATTACATTGCATTTATTTCTATTTAGCTTTCATTTAGTTTTATTTCAGGTTTAGTTTTAATAATTTTAGTACTTCAACTTGAACTTCTAATTTTAATAAATCTGTAACTGTATATAAAAATCCACTATGATTTAATGTTTAAACTGTATAAATATGAAATAAGAATACTCTGAAATGATCAGCGAGTCACATCACGCCAGTAAGATGATTGACTCGTGTAACTGAAAGGCAGGACTTCTTGTCTGTGAGTTTCCTCTCGATCGTTTGCTCTGATCTGTAGTTTTGTACAGCGTAACATAATCACTCCAGTCCTCCATTATGATTGGAGACTCGCACACACACACACACACACACACACACACACAGACACACACTCACACACAGACACACACACACACACACACACTCTCTCTCTCTCTCTCTCTCACACACACACACACATTGCAGTTTCCAGACTGATTATATTATCTGATTAATGTTTATTATCTAGTTATATTATCTAGCAGTTGTTACACATCTGACATTTAATCAGATTTTTTAAATATTTAATTTTATAGTAATGCATTTTTTTTTTATATCAGTGAAATATATTTTGTAAAAAAAAAAATCATGTCATCAAATGTCAGATGAGTCTAACAACTCAACTGCATAATAATAAAGACTAATCAGATGAGAAAAGCTATCTGGAAACTGCAATACCAAATATTCAAAATATTCATACATATATTAAATAAATATTCAAATCATCTAAATGATCATGCCAAAATGACTGGCCTGTCATTTTTAATTATTCGACATAATTCACATGGGGTTATTATTTGAGTTTTATCAACAACAGTTGATTGCACATGACAAGAAGTCACAACTGCATACAGTGTTCTCCCTGCTCTGATCTGCCAAACACACACAAATACACATCACACACATCATTCTCCATAATTCATAAACACATCGTTAAACAGCACAGGCTCAAAGCGGCGCCTCAGCCGAAGGAAAGTCCTGTTAAAACACAGATCATGAGACGCGGCTCTTTCTGTCCTGTGTGTGATTGTGATAAATCAGGTTCAGGAGGTTTTTCTAGACCGGCTCCACGTGGTCTGCCGCTGTGTGGTGGTTTGAAAAATCTCAGTGTATAAATGTTTTGCTGTACTCAGAGTTATTAAGCCATGAATCAGAGCTGTATTTCACAAGCCTGAGCCCTCGGTTTCCTGCTGTAACACACAGCAGATGTTACGCACATCAGCCTGATATCTGATCAGATTAAACTCATCTGCTGGATTACTGAGACACACACCTCTGATCTCTGTGTGTGTAAAATATCACAAACTGGGCTTAGATTTGACAAAATATGTGCAATCAAAACTCAGAGATCTAAATATGAACTTAAAATAAATTAATAAACTAAGACATAAATGTATACATTAAAATTTACATTTTAAAAAAATCAAACAAACAAACAAATTTAAAATAAAATATATTAAAATAAAATAAAATGTGTTTAATTTAAATTTAAATGAAATGTTTAAATCTTTGCAACTAAAAAAGTACTAAAATTACTTATATTAAAACCTAAAAATGAAATAAAATAAGGTTAAAACAGAAATAAAATAAAAAACACAGACAAAAGCACATAACAAAATTACCAAAAAAAAATTATATAAAAAAAAAAAAATATATATATATATATATATAAATATATAGTTATATAGTTAACTAAAACGGAAACCACAATACAGTTGTGTTACTTGAAATAAAATAAACTTTAACTGAAATAAAATAAAAATTATATGCAGTTTTCATATACAATTATATTTTAAAAAACTATTTTATAAAAAAAAATTGTCAGAGTCTAACAACTCAACTGCAAGTTGAACTGAAAAAAAAAAAAAAAAAACGAACAAAAAAATTAAAGACGAATCAAAATTGAAATGAAAACAATATTAAAAAAACATTTAAAATATTATTAAAATCTATAGTTATCTCAGTAATACTAATATAACACTGGAGATCATCAGACATGAAAAATTGTCATGATTTATTCACACTGCTCTTTATTAATACAATGAAAGTGAATAATAAAACATAAATACTTTAAATACTTCAATCACCTCAACCACAAAAAAAGACCACAATGTACCTGAGCTGAACAATTTAGCTCATTTTTACTGAAGAGGACTGTTTGTACGCAGTATTAATGAGAGCAGAGATGTCCAGAGATGTCAGATGCATCGGTCGAGCTCTCATTACTGCAGTCGCCGTATAAGGCCGAAAAACAACTCAACACACTAATAATGCTCACATCTGTGTGGACAAATTGTCTGTTCGAGCCTGTACACACCCTCTACACACCCTCTCTCACATCTGTGTGGACAAATTGTCTGTTCGAGCCTGTACACACCCTCTCACACACACACACACACACACTTAATCGAGGCCCAGAAACGGCCAGCTAATCAGCTCATGCACTATTTATGATCCTAAACAAGGAGGGCGACAGAGAGAGACGCAGCGAATAAAACAACACGTCAATCACAGATCTGCTCATACAGCGGCCGTGTTTCTGTTTGCTCACCATGTACAAAGAAAAACACATCACACGCACACGCACACTCACACACGCAAGGCAACTCTGAGTCTTTAGCTGCTTCGTTTCGGGGTTTGAACGCAAATCAAAGAGAATTTCAGAGTTGCAGAAAAGGAGTGTAAGTGTACAGTTAGAGTAAAATAAACAACCTGACAGCGGGAGCCGATGCACACGTGTGTGTGCGTGTGTCTGTGTTTAACAGCGAAACTTAAAACACAGAAGGTGCAAACTAGCAGAAGGTAAAAGCGAGCCGACGTTGGTTTCTTTTGAAAGTTCACACGGCATAAGTGCAGAATTCCCTCGGCCTGCCCGAGTCTTTCATTACCAGAGTTTATTCTGCTTAATTACCCTGATTGGTGCGCACCTACATCGTGCTCAAATATCACTGTGAAAGTGCATACATTAATGAGCTCGTCGTTAGCACATGTGAAAGTCCATATGTCTTATGACACGTTTAGTCTGAGCTCAGCAGGTAGAAGAAACGCGGCTGAATTTTTCAGCAGTCTCGCAGGAGAACATTCAAAGCCGAGGACGGAAGTTCAGAAAACACCGGTCTGAGCGCCATGACACGCTGATTAGTTTCTGTGGGCCCTGAAAACAACTTCTAATGAGCTCTCTGTTCTCCACCGACAACCTGAGAGGAGAGGAAGAGGAGGATGAGGAGGAGGAGGAGAAGAGGAGAGGAGGAGGAGGGAGAGAGGGGAGTGGAGGGGAGAGGAGGAG